GGCTTCTCTCGATTCAACACACTTGATTTACTCGTGCGGCAGCTCCTCAGGCTCCGCAGAAGCCTGTTGATTACCTGCTGATTGTAATCAGGTGTGTTGGAGTTAAATGTACTGGATACCAGACCTCCAGGACCAGAATTGAATACCCGTTCTACAGCATCTCTGAAACCACGACTCTCCCCCGAGCCAAGACCACGCTTACCCAACATGAGGGTTCAATTCTCTGGAACCACTTCTGAGTTCATTAAAAGTAAACAGAAGCAGTAGCGAGTGGCTTGATATGTACACTGAGGCAGATAAGTTCAAGAGTAATTTAAGTACAAACGAGTTTAGCCGACTTTAGCATTTATTGACTTTTTATAAATGAGGAAAACCTGCTAAACAGAAAATGGGTGACCAAAGACTTGTCAAAGTACTGCTGTCAAGAAAATAGTTATGCATTAATTCAACTGATAAACACATTTAATCATGTCAGAACATCATGTGTGTTTTAGTCATTTATTCTTTGAAGTTCTATTTGTGCCTTTGTTGACTTACTGTTTCTTTTTACTTTGACGTAGGAAGTAATATTCATTTGTTTATGTCTAATACAGAGATCAGTCAGCAGGGCAGTCTGCTATACACATCTACAAACAATTAGCAAATACATCCTTTTCCTAGTAAAGGGCTTAAGTACTTCTATCTGCTCACGTCTCAAAGAAAAACCCATCTAAGTGTAACATGCGTAGGAGTATTTTGGGATGACTTGTATTATCAGGACCAGATGTAATCCAGATCAGAAGCTAGGATCAGCCCACAGGAGTAAGTGACACAGAGACAGAATGGAATAGACCGTTAGGTTGGTACCAATATAGAATATATTATGACACTTGTTTAACAATACATACACTAAATAATAGTTGACAATTTACAGAGAATAAATTACAAATCATCATACGTCAATCCATTGTCCATTAGATAGGGTAACTCATGATTGTTGGCAACTTCAAGTTTCAGCGGACCCGAGGACCCGCGAATGGGTCCTAAAGAGTGAGTTCAATGTTCGTGAGGGAGAGAGAGGGGGGGGGGGGGATTGTGAAGGATGTGATCAGGGTAATCGCGGCTCGCTGTTGAAGTTGCTGAGGAACAGAGACTTAAAGGTGGCTACAGGAGCCTCCTACCAGCCCAACAGTGGTGGAGTGAATCGATTCAGTCTGCCTGACTTGGTTCAGGAACTCAGGGATTCTGGGCTTCCAGTCTAGGTTCTAGTGGGTAGCTCGCCATCCAAAGAAGAAAACCTGGCCTGAAAGAACAGGACCAGGTGGCAGTAGCGGTTTTAGGCACGGGCAGACAGGGCAGTTGCCCGGGGCGGCATTTTTTCATGACACAAAAGGGGCGCACAAGCGCGGAGTAAAAAAAAAGGAAATCTGCGCCGCACCGAGGTTTTCTATTATCTGTCATATGACAGTGTCTGGATTGGAAACAGCAAGTTGGCGCCCCCTGCAGCTGCAGGCGCTCCTGCTGACTGAGAACGTTCACGTGCTCCGTGCGTCTATGAAGAACAGGAAGGGGAGGGGTGCGGCGGGGGAATTCACCTCTGCGTCTTTCCCAAATGAAATGAGCGTGCAGGGGCTGAATCAACTGTATTAACATGGCTAAAGTCAATCACATCTTAACGTTCTTCCATATTTCAATCATAATATCATAAACACAGGCCTATCATTCTTTCAGGTTTCTCTGAATTGTGTGAAATGGCCGAATAAAAAAAGGAAAAACAAAACGATGTTGTGGTCACCCCCCCATCAAGGTCAATTAGTTTAGTCCTGACTGAAGGAAACTTACTGAGTCAAGAGCCAAACAGAAGAGATGAACATAAAAAGGCTAAAACCACCAGGTGCCCCATTCAGGGGGAAAAAAAGAAAAAAGAGGAGAAAGATAAAGGTATGTAGCTCTCATGATGCATGTTTTCAATTTTTTGAACCAGTTAACTGGGATTTTAACGGTTAAATGCGGTCAACTAATTGCTAACAGAGCTAATAGGGCTGAAATATTGAAACGAATATTCTAATGGTTCGAAAAAAGTCCTTGAATCTTTTTTTACTGATTCAAACTAGGATTTGTTAAATGCTCACTGCAGCCCGTGGCCTGCCTGAACAACAACAAACACATGTTGATCATGTTCACATAATAATAAATAAAACAACTCTACAAGCAGAAGAAAACACCCCAGTCACCACTAACTATCCTGTTTATTTATTGCAGATGGCTGCACTGATTATTTTTTACATGATTTGTTCTGTAAAAGTTGGCATTTTTGGTAGTCTACAGTTTTATTTATGTCAGTTTAAATTACAATTTCAGAGGCAATTGTAAAATAATATGGATCATGATAAAGATCTATTGGAGATCTACCCCAACTTTTGGACTGCTCTGCCAGTCACTGTGGCTCAAGCTGAGCGGAGCTTTTCAAAACTTGATCAAGTCATACCTGAGGTCACCTATGTTTCAGGGGCGGCTCACTAACCTGGCTCTGATTAGTATCAATCACTCAGTAGGGGAGCAGATTTCATGTGATGACATTATTGATGATGTTGCATCAAGGTTAGGTTTTAATTTTAGTTTGTGTTTTCTATTCTAAGTGCAATGCTGTGGTGATTATCTTTAGTTTGTTATGTGTGAAATATTTTTGCTATTTAGAATATTTATTATCTATTATGTTCATATATTCTTAATATTTAGTTAGTGTTTGTTTTTGTATATTTGATTCTATATATTTTGATACAGTATATAATGTATATTGCTTTACATTCTGACAACTTCATAGTAATTAATGTAAATATGTGCAACTTAGAAAAATGAATGTTCAATAGTCGTTCTAATAAAACATGCCTGTTTGTAGAAAACATGCGTGTGTTCATGCTGGTGGGGTGGTGGTGGTGGTGGTGGTGGTGGTGGTGGGGGGGGGGGCGGTTGGGGGGCGCTCAAAAGGGGCCTCGCCCGGGGAGTAATTCGATGTAGAACCGCCACTGCCAGGTGGTAAAAGTGTTGTATAATACATTCATCCAACAACTGACAATAATGTCCACTGGCTATATTTGTATATCCGAGTAAGTCGCTCACACACCAGTAATCATTCAGTCGTTCAGAAAACATTGATCATTGACAATCAAACACAAAAGCATTTAAAGTGCATTATCATTTCCAAATATCTCCATACAAAATAACTCACTATAGAATAACTCCTCAGGCAAGTGGTGCCTTTACTTACAGAAATCACACACAGTAGCCCAAACTAACCAGCCCCAGACCCATCACCTGGCAACCGGGTTACATAAGCCGTCCAAAGTTTATGCCAAAACTACTTCGAACGAGTGCCTTTCCTGAGCTTCTTTTTGGTTTTTCTCCATCGCAGCTCTAGGGTTAGGCTACACTTTCATTTAAACGGATGTTTTATGTGACACAAGTTGTTTTAGAGCTCAGAGACAAACTCTACGTCTAAACGCGGTACGCTGTTAGGATCTGAGGGTAAAGGGAAAGCAACATGTTCCCACAGGTCCAACCAGCCTGACTACAGTGGTGAACAGGTAGATTACAGGTGCCCTAAACAGCACTGTTTCCAGGAAGGGCACCTCCCCTGAAATGCCCTACCCTCTTCAGATTGGAAGAAAAAGCACTTCCTGGTCCCGCCCCTTTCACAGATCTGACAGCATAGGGATTGGTCTAACCTCTGTGGTGAGAAGGACAAGAGATGACGATCCCATCTACTGTAGATCAGTGAGTAAATGTTAGATACAATAAACTTGGCTTCAGTCACTGGTGTCACGTGTTTATTTGCTTTGGAAGAAAAGAAAACTTACGAAGCATAACCTAGCGCTGAGAGGTGAAACGAAGATGGATTCTGTAAAGTTCTCCTGCTGCATCTGTCTGGATCTGCTGAAGGATCCGGTGACCATTCCCTGTGGACACAGCTACTGCATGAGCTGTATTAAAGCCCACTGGGATGGAGGAGATCAGAGGAGGATCTACAGCTGCCCGCAGTGCAGACAGACATTCAGACCGCGGCCTGTTCTGGTGAAGAACACCATGTTAGCAGAGTTAGTGGAGGAGCTGACGAAGACTGGACTCGGAGCTGCTCCAGCTGATCTCTGCTATGCTGGACCTGAAGATGTGTCCTGTGATGTCTGCTCTGGGAGGAAACTGAAAGCTGTCAAGTCCTGTCTGGTCTGTTTGGTTTCTTACTGTGAGGAACACCTCCAGCCTCATCATTGTGTTGCTCCATTAAGGAGACACAAGCTGGTGGATCCCTCTGAGAAGCTCCAGGAGAACATCAGCTGTCGTCATGATGAATTTATGAAGATGTTAATGGATGAATTTGAAACTATTTCAGTTACAGCAGAAAGAGCTGAGAAGCAGAAGGAGCTCCAGGCGAGGAGACAACAAATCCAGCAGAGAATCCAGGAGCGACAGAAAGACGTGGAGCTGCTTCAGCAGGAGGTGGAGGACATCAATGTCTCTGCTGATAAAACAGTGGAGGACAGTGAGGAGACCTTCACTCAGCTGATCCGTCTGATGCAGGAAAGAAGCTCTGATGTGAAGCAGCAGGTCAGATCCCAGCAGGAAACTGAAGTGAGGCGAGTGAAGGAGCTTCAGGAGAAGCTGGAGCAGGAGATCACTGAGCTGAAGAGGAAAGACGCCGAGCTGGAGCAGCTCTCACACACAGAGGATCACAAGCAGTTTCTACACAACTACCCCTCAGTGTCAGCACTCAGTGGGTCTCCACACTCATCCAGCATCAGGGTTCGTCCTCGGAGACACTTTGAGGACGTGACAGCAGCTGTGTCAGCGCTCAGAGACGTTCTACAGGACGTGCTGAGGGACAGAGGGACAAACGTCTCACTGAGAGGGACTGCAGTGGATGGTCTACTGCCAGAACCAGAACCAAAGACCAGAAGTGACTTTTTAAAACACCTACAAGAAATTACAATGGACCCGAACACCGCATTTACCAGTCTGCTTTTATCTGATGGGAACAGAAAAGTAAAAGTAACGAACAAACAGATTTATCCCGATCATCCCGACAGATTCACATTTTACGATCAGGTCCTGAGTGGAGAGAGTCTGACTGGACGCTGTTACTGGGAGGTGGAGTGGAGCGGGGACGCCATTCATCTAGCAGTTGCACACAAGAACATCAGCAGAGACGGCACGTCAGACGAGTGTGCGTTTGGGTTCAACGACAAATCTTGGGCATTAAAATGTTGCGGTAATGGTTACTCATTCTGCCACAACAACGTTAAAACTCCGGTCTCAGGTCCTGGTTCCTCCAGGATCGGAGTGTATCTGGATCACGGAGCAGGAATTCTGTGTTTCTACAGCGTCTCTGACACCATGACTCTCCTCCACAGAGAGGAGACCACGTTCATTCAGCCGCTACACGCTGGGGTTCGGTTCTTTGATGAGGGAGACTCTGCTGAGTTCAGCGTTATGAAATAGAGACGTGGAACCAGCAGAGGGCCGGTTTACTACAGATCACATTAAATACTACTCTGTTGTACAAGGAACAACATTCTCAGTGACAGAAATCAATCTTAAGATTTACGTTTTCATGATTAAATGAGGGCTGTGCAGTGGTGCAGTGGTTAGAGCTGATGCCTTGCAGCAAGAAGGTCCTGAGTTCGATTCCCGGCCTGGGATCTTTCTGCATGGAGTTTGCATGTTCTCCCTGCGCGCGTGGGTTCTCTCCGGGTTCTCCGGCTTCCTCCCACAGTCCAAAAACATGACAGGTTGATTGGTCTGTCTAAATTGTCCTTAGGTGTGAGTGTGTGTGTGTGCATGGTTGTTTGTCCTGTGTGTCTCTGTGTTGCCCTGCGATGGACTGGCATTCTGTCCAGGGTGTACCCCGCCTGATTGCCCGTTGACCACTGGAGATAGGCACCAGCCCCCCCGCGACCCTGCGGGTTCAGAAAATGGATGGATGGATGATTAAGTGATCTGATACCAGAAAACTGGGTAGATTTGTGGAGTCATGATTTAAACATTAAAGAGTAACTAAGCTCCAAAATAACATTTTTTTTGCTTATAAATTGTATATTTGGGTCTTTAAAATGCAATATTTCTTTTTCTGTGCATTTTTTTTACATGTTTGTGTAAACTTGATTAAATCTAGATCTAAAACTGTCTTAGTGCTGCCCCCTGTGGGTTGAACTGTGGCTATTGCATTTTAAACTTGTGATTGACTGGGGCTGGTACAATTTCACGTCATTGGTACAGTCTCCTCCCACTCCCCCCTCCCTCCCAGAATGGGAATTCCCCACTCTTGGCCATGCCACTCTGCCTCCTGGCAACGCCCACTTTCATGACATTTTTCAAATCTTGACTAGGGGTGGAGTTACATTTTCTGATGGTGTGCAGTCCCTTTTTAACTTATAAACACATTGTACAAAGAAATAAGTAAACTTCAAAGTACAAATTTTTAAAAATTCATAAGTGAATATGTGCCAATTCAACTTTAAAAGATTTTAACATGTTTATGTTCAGTTTGTCGTTAGGCTGATTTTATTCTTTCCAACATAAATCTTAAATTCAGTTTTCTAGCCGCTACAATAGTACTGCAAAACAGCAACAAAGCTACCTACGTGTCATAAGAGCGATTTCACTCAACTACATTCTCATAAAAAATGTCAATTACAGAAAAGTATTCAGACAGTTGCTTCCAGGCTGTATAGCACCTAGAACGACTTGTTTACCCTTTAAACCAAAACTTCCTCTACTGTGATCTTTCTACAAATGATTAGCTTTAATGAACAAAAGCGTGTTCAAACTGGAGGTTTTCTTATTTGTGAACAATTTCCGTCTTACAGAAAATAAGACTTGAAACTCCTGTGATGTTTACATTTTTTAAAGGGTGGTGGATAAATTAATCCACAATGCATCTCTTAAGCTTGTTAGTTTCAGTTTCCAGCAGTAGGATAGTTCTGATAAATATCATCACTTCAGATACCCTGTAAACTGTCAATAAACTTAATTAACGTAAAAATCTTTGGGTTTAGTGTTTTAACTTCTAAAATAAAACTGTAATAGATGTTTCTCCAAATAACATTGTATGAGTTGTGATTATTTTATGATGCTCGCCTCTAAAAACAGCACTAGGAAATTGTGTTGCCTGCTTTTTCAAACATCCTGCACGTCAGTGAGATCTGGACAATTGAACAAATTCATTTCAGCTGGGAAAAATGGGTTTAGTGTCGATAAAATGACAGATTAGATAAATTTATGGGAATAACATGTTTAGGTAACAATTCAACCAGCAGGCGGATCAGGGCAGCATCAGCAGTGGCGTGAATGCCAAACTGATGTGTTGTGGAAAAGAAGGAGCTAATGCCTAGTTAATACTTCAAAAGTGGGGGTGCTGACCAATGCAACACTATCATCCCAAGATGCAAGCACTCAGCAGCAGGCAGGAAGAGTGTTAGATATTGGTCTATAATTCATTGGGTCATCTGAATCCAGAGAAGGCTTCTTAAGTGAAGGTTTGATTACAGCAACCTTAAAATCCTGTGGTACATACCCATTTACTAAGGATAGATTGATTATATCTAGAATGGGGGCAGTAACCAAAGGAAATGCATCTTTAAATAATTTGGTTGGGATTGGATCCAAAATGCAAGTTGAAGGTTTGGATGAAGCTAATATTTTTGATAAATCTGAAAGCTCAACTGGATCAAAACGGTTCAGGCACAGATGAGGTTCTACAATCACCTCTGATGCTGCCTCACTTACTGAGGAAGAAGAAATCGCATTAGGGAGGATGCTAAAGATTTTGTTTCTAATAGAATTAATTTTACTTGTAAAAAATCCCATGAAGTCATTGCTGCTGAGGGCTAAGGGAATAGATGGCTCAGAGCTATGATTCTGTGTAAGTTTAGCAACTGTACTGAAAAGAAACTTTAGGATTATGCTTATTCTCCTCAATTAAGCAGTTATAACGTGTCAAAGCTTAATTTTATAAACCACAAGACTTCTATTTGCCTGTAGCTTTCCCTGAGTTTTTTTCCTTTCAGAAATTCTGTATGATTTTTCAGAAATCCATAAAAGTGATTAACTTATTGTGGCAAGGTGGATAAACAAGGGCCCGGGCGGGATTCGATCCCCAGACTCCCGGGTGAGAGTCATACGCTCTAACCAGTCAGCCAAAGGTACATCCCCTTGGCCAAATAGCCAGGGCGCATGATCAATTGGGACATTGTGACAGGATGCTCACACTGTCACATTATGTATTTAAGCAATACGTCTTTTTTTGCTAAGCACATCCCCTGACCCACATGCAGTAGGAAACTGAGTGCCGGCCAGCACTAATCAATAGCATTAAACTACCGCTTGCATGCTTCAAATTTAATACCTCGGCTGATGCAGAGTTGATGAACTTTTTACTGACAAGTCTCTAAAATATAAATATATGAGAACACAACATGACACGATAATACTAGTAAAACATGTTTTAGCTCTGTTTGTTAGCTACAGAAGAACATTAAACAAGAAACGTGAAGTTGCCATTTTAAAAACACGGCGTGACAGATGTTTGGTGTGGTATGCGTAACAGCCACTAGACGGTGCCATTGGACATGAGAAATACTCCAGAAAGAGACTTTAACTCTATGAAGACCTCGACATCTTACTCTTGTCTTTGTTTAAAAGTGCTTTTCAGTCCATCGGTCCCAGCGTGCTCTCTATAATTAATGCTTCTCTGGTTTCTGGTCAGGTCCCTCCTTACTTTAAGAACGCTGTAATCCACCCGCTTCTTAAAAAACCGAGTCTCGACCCCTCTCTCCATAGCAGCTTCAGACCCTTCTCTAAACTTCCGTCATCTCCAAGATCTTGGAAAAGGTTGTGGCTAAACAACTCACAGCTGCTCTTGATGAACATAACATCTATGATAGTGTGACAGTGTGAGCGTCCTGTCGCAGTGTCCCGATTGATCATGCACCCTGGCTACTTGGCCAAGGGGATGTCCCTTTGGCTGACTGGTAAGCTCGCATGACTCTCACCCGGGAGTCTGGGGATTGAATCCCACCTGGGCCCTCGTTTCTCCACCTTGCCACATTAGCTTCCAGTCGGGTTTTTGTGGAGCTCATTCTACTGAAACAGTTCTTAGGGTCTCTAATGACCTCCTGATTAACAATGGTGCAGGGGACTGTTCTGATCATTCTGTCCCGCTCTGAACTCGAGACTGTTCTCCACCCCTTCATCTCCTCACGCTTATGCAACACCCGCAGATCAGCCCCCAAGACGTTGCACGAAGTCAATCTGACCAGCCAGTATTAATGTGGAAAATGTAGTACAGAATCTGATTGCTTCAAAAATAGATAAATTAAAAATAATTGCAAAATGCCATGCACTGAGCTAGAGGACCCGTGATGACAAACAGTGAGACGCTTTAACAGTCTTTGTTACCCAGGAGCTATGAGGGGGTGTTACCAGAGTGATACTCAGGTAGACGCAGAGTCAAAGACAGGCGTGGGTCAAAACCAGATTGAGGCGAAGCAGGTACAGGGTGCAGGCTAGAGATGTGGTCGTGGACATGCGTAGGTCGTGATGGCAGGCAGAGTCCTTGGCAAGGATCAGGCATGGAAACGAGGTCAGGAGGCTATGATGAAGGAAGGCTGGAAGATTTACTGGCAAAGTGTTTAATAAGCTGGCACCAGCTGGAGAGCAGGCTGGGTGTTATATAGCAGAGGAGGCAGGTGTGTGGCATGAGCTGATGACAGGGTGCAGGTGATAATTAAGTGGCTGAGGGCTTGATTGAGGAGGCAGCTGAGGCAGAGGGTGGCAGCCGGGGAGTCATGACACAAAAGCTAAAAATCCATAAAACGCTCAGTCTGTGCAGGTTGTGCCTATAAAACAGGCCAGGGAGACCAGTTAAAAACCAGGGGGAAGTTTAATTCTTCACCAAACAACATGTATGAAGCCAGGTAGTAACGATGACTTGAGCTTCCCCCAATCGGCCCAGTGCCTCCAGCCATCCGACTCAGTGCTGGGCAGGCGTTTGGTCTTTCTGATCAGTGACTCCTGGTCTCCCCTTTTTGGCACACCTGTGAGCTTCTGCAAAGAGTTCTGCAAGAGAGTTCAGCACAGCCGCAACAGATCAATAAATACATTAAAACACACCAACAAGAGGAAGCAGTTAAGAGACAACGAAGTTCACCCGTGAGTCTTTGCCTGCAAAGAGTTCAGCACAGCTGCAATAGATGCAGAGCTTCTTCTTCAAATGGGAGATACGGCAGGCTAGACGCCTTCAAGGCGTTTTGCTGCCCCAGCAACGATGGCCAATAGCCCAAGATTCACAACCTCCCGTACACGCCAACCTTTTGAAGATAAGCCAAAAGCGCCCCCTCAACGCGTCGATCTTCCAACCCCAACAACGTACGCAGGCCAAACACAGTCACACCTAAAGTCCCCAGGAAACCAAACAGGGCCCGCCGCTCAACCACGTAGAGACGACAGGGCAGTAGAACATGAGCAACCATTTCCCGCTCTCTGCAAGCACAACAGCCATCCGGATGTCGACCCACTAAAAACAAACCTCCCCTAATGCAGCTATGTCCCAACCTCAGGTAGATGCAAAGCTTCTTCTTCTTCTTCTTCTTCATGTCCGTTTAAATGGTGGGTGGCAACCAACTTAAGGTGCATTACCGCCACCTACTGTGCAGGAGTGTGAGTCAGAGCGAGGAGAGAAAACAAACAAACAAAAAAAAAACTAAATTCTATTAAATACCTTAATTTTCCTAAGAAACTCTAGCACCAGTTTATAAATGGATGTATTACCATTCAACAACGTTCTCAAATCCCAAACACCATATCCTTTAGTTAGATGCAAAGCTATGCGTGCCTTCCCCTTAAGTAGAGCAGTGCCTGATTTCTAATTGAAAACACCTGTGTTGCTGCACCCACACAGTTCATACACACACTAACACACAGAGTGTGATACAGCTCTATCAGGTTATGCTTAGACTACTGTAACTCTTTTTTCACGTGTCTGAGCAGAACCTCCCTGAACCGTCTACAGGTGGTTCAGAACGCCTGTGCTCGGCTTCTGACCAAGTCCTCCAAACACACCCACATCACCCCGCTTCTCCTCCAGCTTCACTGGCTGCCAGTCAACTTCAGGGTTCATTTCAAGATCCTGGTTCTGGTCAATAGGGCCTTACATGGACAAGCACCATCTTACATTGGTGATCTTCTTAGTTTCTACACCCCCAGCAGGTCCCTGAGGTCCAGTGATCAAAGCCTACTGGTTGTGCAAAAGACCAAAGGTGACAGATCATTTGCTGCTGTGGTCCCCAGACTCTGGAACTCTCTCCCCCTGAGCCTGAGATCAGTGGACTCCTTTAAAAACACGGAGGTCTCGGAGAGCTCCACAAGCCGGCAGCCGCACAGCAGACAAGCGCCGCTGCAATCTGAGATGCGCAGAGCTGCCGCTGGGGAGAACCAGGTGGAAAGGTTTCCGTCCCAGAGCTCCACAAGCCGTCAGCCCACGCAGCAGACAGAAGCCGTGATCAGACAGAGATGCGCCGAGCTGCGGGGAGGGGAGAACCGGGTGGAAAACATCGGTCTCCCGAGAGCTCCACAAGCCGATAGTCGGAACCCAGCTCCACCAACATGTTATATTTCAACCCATTTTCTAAAGTGCAGCATTATGTTAAATGCACTGGGTTTTACCCTATTACATTTAAATTTCATGGTTAAACAGTACATGTTAAAATCTAAGCTCAGCTCGGCAGTGAGCACAAACACAGAGACTCAAAATGCCGGAGCAGTTTCCAGGCCAGACCGAGGCTCTACTGAGGCCTTTCCACGGAGCTAGCTCTGTGGTCACGTGGGTCTGATGCTCATTAATTATACAGAATTTTAGACTTTTAATACACTTAATTCAATTCAATTCCAGTTTATTTATATAGCGCCAAATCACGACAAGAGTCGTCTCAAGGCACTTCACATAATAAACATTCCAATTCACAGTTCATTAAGCCAATC